GAAGGCTCAACACTGCAGCTACTTAAGAGGCAAAAGTTAAATCAGTTGTTTTGGTTGTGAATCTTTGCCTTAAACATTATACATGGCCGGGCTGGCTCACAGCTGTAATCTCAGCACTTTGGAGGCAGGCGGTGGGTGGATCACCTGAGGTCAGGTGTTCTAGACCAGCCTGGCCACACAGGTGAAACCCGTCCTCTACTAAAATACAAAAATTAACCAGGCATGATGGAGGTGCCTGTAATCCCAGCTACTCGGGGACCAAGGCAGGATAACTGCTTGAACCCAGGAGGCGGGGTTCAGTGAGCCGAGATTGCGCCATCATACTCCAGCCTGGGGGACAAGAGTGAGACTTTGTCTCAAAAACAACAACAACAACAACAAATACTACACATGATTACCCCACATTCCTTTTTCTCTTGCAAAGAGGTGGGGATGAATCAGGTTTGCTCTTGTGGCTGACAATACTCTTGAAAATGGTGGCAGAGAGCTGGGCGTGGTGCCTCACACCTGTAATCCCAGCACTTTGGGAGACTAAGGCAGGTGGATCACCTGAGGTCGGGAGTTCAAGACCCACCCGGCCAACATGGAGAAACCTGTTCTCTACTAAAAATACAAAATTAGCCAGGCATGGTAGCGCATGCCTATAATCCCAGCTACTCAGTAGGCTGAGGCAGGAGAATCTCTTCAACTCAGGAGGCGGAGATTGCCGTGAGCCAAGATCACCCCATTGCACTCCAGCCTGGGCAACAAGAGTGAAACTCCATCAAAAAGAAAAAGAAAAAAAGGAAAGAAAAGAAAGGAAAGGAAATGAAAGGAAAGGAAAGGAAAAAGGAAAAGGAAAGAAAAGAAAGGAAAAGAAAAGGAAAAAAAAAAGAAAAGAAAATGGTGGTAGAGAAATAAAATAAAGTGAATACAGTTCACGTAATAATTTCACGTAAAAAATTAGCACTTACTAGTCCTGTGACTCTTGCAAAGCTCCAGACAACTATGTGAGAGAGATGAAATAGCTCTTTGCTACCAATATTTTATGTGATGCTTCGTTTTTTGATACCTTGAATACCTACTTACAACACATTAGCCCATTTATGCCAGAGGTTGCAATTTTTTGAATTTTTGCACGAGTGAAAAATCAGACCTTGTCGATGACCTTGAGCAGTAGGATATAAGTAACTCCCTCATGCTTACCATTCCAATGATGGAACACTAGACATAAGTGGGCTAACACAATCATGAAAGCATAGGTATTCAAGTAACTAATTATACAACACAGTTTTTTTTCCTAATCTCTAGAACACAGTAAGGGACCAGTTATTTTAAAAATACAACACA